CTCAGTCTGCGTCCTGTCCCATAGGTAACCTTCACTGCTGTGTTTCAAGCCAACCTCCTGTTGGAATCACAAAAGTAGTCTTTTAATACGTCCATCCAAAACAAGTAATCATCATGTACAACAATCAGATGTTTTAGGCCAGATAGCTGACTTGCTACTCACAGAAACAGCCTCAGGACGAGTAGCAAGTTGGCCATCTGGCCTAAAACATTTAATTGTTGTACATGATGATTGATAGTTTAGGATGTGTGTGTTTAGCACATGTTAAAAGACTACTTCTGAGATTCCAACAGGAAGTTGGCTTGAAACACAGCAGTGAAGGCTACCTAAGGGATAGATCTGGTTGGCAGGCCGTAGACTGAAGAAGGCCTCTGGATGGGGGACAAAACGTTTCTCACTTAAGAAAACTGGTCCAGATGACATGATTTAAGCTTTTTTGTTGTTATCTATCTGAATGATTGAACTTACAACCAATAATGCTTCTAGTTTGGGTGACATTGCATGCACTAAAGAAAACAACTATGGCTACCCGTTTACTGTGGAAATTCAAAAGTAAATCCTTATCAAAAATTAGTCCTCATTGTAGCATAGGAAAAAAGCATGGTGTCACCAAAAGAACAAAACTGCTGGCATAGCCCTACAGAACTTCACTGACCTGAACAAGACGAGGTCAGTGAACAAGGCCAGGCTGATTCTGGCAGATCCTGATCACCCACTCCATGGTGAGTTCAGGTTGCTTCCATCTGGATGCAGATATCTGCAACCCAGATGTAGGACAGACAGACTAAAAAAACTCATTCATCAAATGTAGCGGCTTCTCAACGAACAATGATGATTGCTGTACAGTTATTTTAATGTCGCAATGTCTTGTCTGGTATATGGATGTTTTATGTGCCTACTGACTGTGAAACAAATTGTCCCTTGGGGATAATAAAAATTCTTGAACTTGAACAAAAAGGTAAAGTAAGCTTAAGAATTAGGTTTCAGCAATGGTTATATCCAAAAACAGCACCGATCATGATTCAATTTTAAAATAGAAAACTTTGGATCAATGAAGCTTTAATGTTAGTAAGACAGACCTATGAATTTAGCTGCTCAGCATCAGCAAAATAATGAAAATGTGTGACATATTTTTGGATGATATTGCCTGAAAGAAAAAGGCTTTAAAGAGAACAGATCTGAGCCAAGTTACAAACCCTGTGGAACACCCCAAATTCCTATTTACATGTAAAAACTGAAATCTTTTACATAAACATGATCTATAATTTCTAAAGTTATATCGATAATCACAACATGTTTGGGTGTTAATAAGAATATGTTAAGAGATGAGGTAAATGCAGAGCTGTGCTCCAACAGGACAAAACAAACTACAAAGAGTTTATTTGTACCTTTATTCATCGTTTTATTGTGTTTTAAATTGAAAATTTATTTCACTATTGTGTGCCTAGCTTTGTAACGTAATTTTTGTGTTTTTTATCTTATTTATTATTGATGTTCAGCACTTTGTTTTAGCTGTGGCTGGTGTTAAAGCGCTTTATAAATAAAGATGATGATGATGATAATGATTTGTTGCTGTTCAAAACATTACATTCAGATTAAAACTTTTAGTAAATAAGCTTCATGAGGGCAAATAGATGTTTTAAAGCATTTTTGGGCAGCATGATGGATCAGTGGTTCGCACTGTTGCTCCACAGCAAGAAGGTTCTGAGTTCAATCTCCGGTTGGACCTGGGGTCTTTCTGTGTGGCATTTGCATGTTCTTCTCGTGCCTGCGTGGGTTTTCTCCGGGTACTCCAGTTTCCTCCCACAGACCTAAACATGCATGTTAGGCTGCCTTCAGGCCCAGACCTCCCGTGCAAAAGAGATCTGTGATCTCAATGGGATTTGCCTGGTTAAATAAAGGTTAATAATAATAAAAAAGCATTAACAGTTAAAAAACAGATGTCTATAGACTATAAGTAACTTAAACATCTGAGTCAAAAGTGTTTTTGTTTTCATCTAGTAGTTTAAACACAACTAACATAAAGGCCTCTGTACAAAACCAGTTAACAGATTGATTAATTTCTAATCAAACACAGAGATATAATGAGTGGAGCATCCTCCCTTTAGGCTGTCACTGATATTTTGATCATTTACAAATTAATGATGACATTAATTTATCCAGATGAAAAGGAGATATAATACGGTTTCTTGTAGGTTGTTGCATGGCAAAGTTTTAAACAAGGACGTTGAGTTATCTCTTTGGGATGATACCCAGTTACTACAACATCATATCTTAGCTCATAGTTTGTACAGCTTACTGAGTTATGACAGTTTTTGTGTTTGTTAAAGTTGACTCACATGGCAACAATGTTGATTCAGGCTGATTTATAACTGATGGTCTAAGTCACATAAGGACGTTTAGATCTTTTCTGAATCACAGACAAGGGCCCATTTCTTTTGTGTCTTTAGTGACCTCTCCTCACAGAAAAGCATGTGTTTGTCACACACACTGAAAAACAAGCTTTACACAACAGGACTGTGAAATCACCATGTTCCAAGACTAAGAGATGCAGCAGGGCCTTAAGGCTCCCAGTGGGCTAAAATATTCTAACATTCGGACAAAATAATTCATGATCAGGTTCAGGAAATCATTCCATCTCTGCTGTGGTCGGCAAAGGAAACTAATCTAAAACTAAAATACAAAGTCTAAAGTGGAAATTTCAAACAGGACAAAATTATGTGCTAGTTTGATGAAATAAAATAGTATATGTATTATTATGAATGAGCATTGATGAAACGTCTGAATTTCTATGTGTTTGGGGCAATTTAAAGTGTTTGTTCTTTTAGTCAAGCTAAACCAAGACAAGTTTAGTTTAGTAATCAGAGAATTGCTTCATTAAAGAAAATATAAAAAAATGTTGATGTCTCTCAACTATTGTTTACACAGATAGGGTCTGCCACTAATTAGGAATAATTTTTGGTAAAAAAAAAAAACTAAATATGAGCTTTCAAACGGAAACAACTTTAAAACAAACTTTTGTTTCATGCAATTTAATTATTAAATATTGAATTTTTAATCATTATTTTTGCAAGTATGTTATGGGAATTACATGGTTAAATTAGAAAGAAGCTAGAACAATACAGCTACATTCCAAAAACCAGACCAAAACAACCAAAACTATTTATTCATTGTGAGCCCTATACTTTCAAAAGGATGATTTGATTTGATCAATTTTGCAGTAAATGCTGAGAAGGAATACAAGCTTACTTTGTAGTAAGTTTTTCCTTTTGTCAGTTAAGACTTAAACATTTGTTTTTATTATTGATGATAATTTCATGGTTTGTAAGTTGCATTGAAAATGAAAGATGAACATCATAAGTGAATGCTCCTTTTGAATCACAGAAGCAATGCCTTCTACACTGACTTAATGAAAAACAGCACTGACAAAATCCTTCTACAGTACACAAAATAAAAGCAGCATTAGGCTTGTATCCTGTTGCTGAAAGTTATTGAGTTACAAACAGTATATCATTGACAATAAAAACACGTTTTTTTATTGGTACAAATTATATTTAAAATAGGATACATTTTGTAGCATAGTTTGAACATAGGCTTATTCAGTGAAAGTTTTGAATAAGTAAAGTAAGATAAAGTGCTATGTGTTGCCATCATTGTATGTTCCCATATGGCAAAATTGGTTCTCTGCATTTAGTCCATCAGACCTGGGATGGTGAAGCAGTGGGCAGCTATTTAGGTGCCTGGGGAGCAATTGGGGATTGGGTGTCTTGCTCAGGGACACCACGGCATGTGAGAATGGCTGGGGATCAAACCTGGAACTTTTGGGTCCCTGGTACCAGGTCGACTGCCCTGCATAGCCCCACTTGCAGTTTAGTTGCAGGCCCTCGGATGCAGTTTAAAATCTGAAGGGAGATTTGCTTCTTGCAGAAAAAATAGAAGTAATATTTTTTATAAGAGCCTACAAAGTTTGGAAAATATCTTATGCTAAATACAGATTCAGATTCAGATACAGATATTCTTTATTGTCATTCGCACCACATGTGGTACATGTGGTCGAACGAAATTTATGTGCCCATGGTCCCATTACATCCAACAATAAAATGTAAAAGAAAAACAGTAATAAGATCTAAGATATGAACTAAGACTATGAACTAAGAAAAACATCAGCTAATAATACACTAATAGCATAAAAACAAAAAACACAATACATCCAACAACAGCACGAACATGAGTCTGTGTGAGCAGATGAGCACGAACTAACACAGCAACATGAAACAGATCAGCAGCAACATGAAACAGATCAGCAGCAACATGATGTGATTTTTCACAGTGACTATTCTGGTTAGAGATTCATGAGTCTACAGCCTCAGGGTAGAAGCTGTTCCTCAGTCTAGTGGTTCGACACTTAATGTTCCTCGACCTCCTTTCTGAGAGGAGCGGGGCAAAAAGTGTGTGTGCTGGATGAGTGGAGTCTTTCATGATGCAGGTGGCCCTCTTCCTGCATCTGGAGGTGCAGATGTCTGTGATGGTGGAGAGGCTGACTCCAACAGGCTTCTGTGCAGCCTTCACCACTCTCTGCAGAGCTTTTCTTTCTGCAGCTGTGCAGCCTCCATGCTACACGTTGATGCTGGAGCACAGGATGGAGTAAAGCATACAAAATTAAACATCATGATATTAGTAGGCTATTAGAAAATTTATAAAGTGTCTTTTTAATTTTGATAACTTGGGCGTTTTGCAACAGTCATGCTATAGGAAATGATAATTCAATAAATAAAGCAGTATATAGTAATATTACATATAAATATATAAGTACGTTAGCGTCTTCTTTTTTTAAGTGACTCGTCCTACGCTTGCTAGAAATGATCGTACTTAATAAATAATGAACTGCTTTACGGTCCTCAACAAGATCAATTTGAGTCAGAAGGACGAACACTGCAGTTTTAAATCATGGAGTGGGGTAGCAGCGCCATCTAGCGCCTGGACGGTGAAAAGACGCGGCTCTACGTCACTTCCTGTTAAAACATGGCTGCGCCCTGACAAATGTCACATTATCTCATTGAGCTAAAAACTCACAATTACCGTCTGCTTTGTATCTGAGCAACAAATTTAACAAAAGACAAGATTTAAGAAGATATCGTAGATAATTTGTGCCATTTGACTTTCACAAAGGTATTTGGTTTTCTTTTGTCGAAACCACGTTTGGTCCAGTTTTGTTATCGTCTAGTACGTCTTGAGGATTAAGATTTAAAGCGTTTTAAATAATGTAACTTGTTGCATTTATCTAAACTATGACTTCTTTGTTACAGAATATTCAAGCGGACATCATGGTGCATTTATGTGAGTAAAATTTTTCACGCTACGTGATACAACAAAAATATGCCGTAAAGGGCATTTTTTTGTATCACGTTTATGTACACGGTACACTTTAAAAAAATACTGTGTATAAAAAAAAATACTGCATTGTAAAAATTACCCATGCGGTTTATGTAAATGCCCATATTGTTTAGGTGAAGAAAATGACATTAATAGTGGTTCCTAACCCCTGGTTCTCTGTCCACTGTCCTGCATGTTTCTGCTCCAGTTCGTTACCTGTGCATTTAAATCAGGTGTACTCAAATAGGGAAGTGGAGACACATCTACAACATAACTTCATAGTTTATAGAATTGTCTTATTTTTTGTTACTTTTATTTTTATGTAAACTTGACCTTTTTATCTTTTTATTTTAAAGTGAAGTGCCTTGTGATTTTTATCTTGAGAGGTGCAGAATAAAAAATAAAAAAAATATTTACTCTGGAGACTGGGGTTGATAATCTGGTTTAGACTGTGGCATAAAAAAACAGATTAATCAATCAATTCATTAATAAATAAATACACTTTCAAAAATGTAAAGAAAATGTACTCTTTTGTATTATTTTATTGCATATTGAAAAGAAGAAGAAAAACAACCTAGCATTTAGTCATTATTTTATTATACTTCTTTTTTAGCTTAGCATTCCTTGAAAGAATGCATATCGCCCACCACTTGGAGAGGAATATCGCCTTATGTTGAGAAATAAGAGTTGTATCAGTTTTGGTCAAACCTTGAAGATAATATTTTGTGCAACCTCATCACATTTGGCATAAATGCAGGCGTGCAAGATTTTACACACTTAACACATACCTTCAAAAAAGGAAAGAAAAATGTACATGATACAAATTTTCTCTTGGCTAATGTTCTAGCAAGCCATTGTCAAATTTGTTAAAATGGCTATTAAATTTGGTCAGTAAGTTGCTGATTAATCTTCTTATCAGGGGAATTTTAAAGGGAGTGTTGAATCTCAGTCACAAATCTGTGAGATGGCCCACAATATAATGTAGACAAATAAAATAAAATGGATAAAGGACTGAATCCTAGGCACTTGGACCCATTTTGTTTGTTAAAGTGTACAGATTTGTAAATCATTTTAACATCTTGATCATGTGGCTTTAGGTCAGTTAATCAATAAAAGTTGCTTTGAGTTGCAGGACAAAGTCATTTTGTTGAAGAAAGTTCTTTAAACTTAAATCAAAAATAGATTTTGAAATGTTGACACTATTATCTGGTTGAATATGTTTAAAGAAAGGTTTCCAAGGTAACCATACTGTTCTTATTGTGCTCATTTCCTTCTGCAGCATCCCTCCTCCTGAAGCACTACCATGGGGGTTACGTTGTCATCCGATTGGCTCGTGCAGGCCACAAACAAGCTAACAGACCCTTTTTTCGCATTGTGGCTGCGTTCAACAAAAAAGCAAGAGATGGTAAATTCATAGAGCAGCTGGGAACATATGACCCCCTTCCCAACATCTACAACGAGAAACTCGTCAGCTTCAACTTCGACCGGCTCAAGTACTGGTACGGTTGTGGTGCGCACCTTACCAAGCCAGTGGCCAAACTTCTAGGTGCGTACTCAGGTTCTCAGATGTGTATCGCAGCAGAGATGAACATTACACAGTTTTTATTGTTTACATTTGGAAAGAATTCTGTTCCTCATAAAAATGTGTTTGATCAAGGAGGTCCATTTAGAACACGTGATCTAACTACACGTTTTAAACAATATTCATTCACTGAGGTCTTTTGTTCTTCACATGAGCTACAGTACCGAGTAGCATGGAGTAATGCTCAGTTACTCTTGTTTCAACTGCTGTGTATAAATATCTGATTTCAACAGCTCTAGAAATAAAATGCTTTTTGTATTAATTGTTGCTTGTATTAATGATTAATAAAAACATTTTAGATTATTTTGATAGGCACAAATGACTTCCTGTACTGGTTTTTAAATGTAGCATAGCTGAAGAGACCTTCAACTGAAAACACCATGATGTTTGATTAGTAAAAGTTGCCCGGTGTTATTACATGTTAAGGATTTTAAAATAAAATAATGCTTTCAATGAATTAGCTAATTGACAGTTGGGGAATTCACTTTGTCTAAAACTGATGTTGTACCAGCTCCTAAGGTTCAAACTATCCTTTCTGTCTGCAGGGTTGGCAGGATATTTCCCCCTGCACCCCATGACGATAACGGCGGCAGAGCGGCTTCTAGCAAAGATGGAGCAGACAGAAAATTCAGTAGAGACAACGGATGCTGTAGAGGAGGGAGAGAAGCAGACTGAAGTGTGAAAAGTTCAATTATGGGACAGTGTTCAAGAGAAGGTGAATATTTTCAATAAAAACTGCTCAGTAAGTTTTCTCACCTACTTGGACGGCTGATAGCAACTAATGAGGTGATCTGTTCCTGCAGCTGTGTACGTGACCAGCAGATTTATGGTAATGATTATAGAAATGCAGAAACATAGATTTGCCGGCACCTGATTGTTTCTGTTGTTTGACTGGGCTTTGTGAATTTTGTTTTTTTTAAATAAACAATTTCATTTTCTTTTGCATTTGACTCGTAAATCTTGAAATCATTGCTTTTTTTTTGTTAACTTGAGAGCGAACGTCAGCAATGTAAAAAATTAGAAAATAAAAGGAAAAGAACTGTATGTTATATAACACTTTGATTACGTTTAGTGGAAAACTCCACCCTTAACTGGAGAATTGGGAGTTTTTGCAATGTTTATAAACTGTACAAACGTTAAAAACTGTGGCACGACGCTGATCACTGACCGAAATCGTGTCGTGTTTGGCACTAATTTTGTAATCGTGACTCAACAAATCTGTTTTGACTATAGTTACATTTTTCCACAACCAGACCAATATTTACAATTCTGGTTAAAAAAAAAAAAAAAAAAAAAAAAGTGAGCTGAATTTATGTTTTTGTTTGAAGGTTTCATGTATCAGAATATTTAAAAAAGATTGATACTCAAAGCAGTCTGCTTCTCAGATAAATACTGTTATTAACTTACTTTATATACAGTGAGGAAATTAAGTATTTGAACACCCTGCACCTTTGCAAGTTCCCCCACTTAGAAATCATGGAGGGGTCTGAAATTTTCATCTTAGGTGCATGTCCATTGTGAGAGACATAATCTAAAAAACAACATCCGGAAATCACAATGTATGATTGTTTAAAAATAATTTATTTGTGTGTTACTACTGCAAATAGGTATTTGAACCCCTGACAATCAGCAACAATTCTGTCCCTCAAAGACCTGTTAGTCCTCCTCTAAAAAGTCCACCTCCACTCCACTTATTATTCTAAATTAGAAGCACCTGTTTGAGGTTGGTAGCTGCATAAAGACACCTGTCCACTCCACACAATCAGTAAGACTCCAACTACTAACATGGCTAAGACCAAAGAGCTGTCCAAAGACACCAGAGACAAAATTATAGACCTCCACAAGGCTGGAAAGGACTACGGGGCAATTGCCAAGCAGCTTGGTGAAAAAAGATCAACTGTTGGAGCAGTTATTAGAAAATGGAAGAAGCTAAACATGACTGTCAATCTCCCTCGGACTGGGGCTCCATGCAAGATCTCACCTCGTGGTGTATCAATGATCCTATGAAAGGTGAGGAATCATCCCAGAACTACACGGGAGGAGCTGGTCAATGATCTGAAGAGAGCTGGCACCACTGTTTCCAAGGTTACTGTGGGTAATACACTAAGATGTCATAGTTTTAAAATCATACATGGCACGGAAGGTTCCCCAGCACCCGTCCAGGCCCGTCTTAAGTTTGACCATGACCATTTGGATGATCCAGAGGAGTCATGGGAGAAAGTTATGTTGTCAGATGAGACCAAAATAGAACTTTTTGGTCTTAATTCCACTCGCCGTGTTTGGAGGACGAATAATGAGTACCATCCCAATAACACCATCCCTACTGTGACGCATGGGGGTGGAAGCATCATGCTTTGAGGGTGTTTTTCTGCACATGGGGCAGGACGACTGCACTGTATTAAGGAGAGGATGATCGGGGCCATGTACAGGTCCTTCTAAAAAAATTAGCATATTGTGATAAAGGTCATTATTTTCCATAATGTAATGATAAAAATGAAACTTTCATATATTTCAGATTCATTGCACACCAACTGAAATATTTCAGGTCTTTAATTGTTTTAATACTGATGATTATGGCATACAGCTCATGAAAACCCAAAATGCATGTCCCAAAAAATTAGCATATCATGAAAAGGTTCTCTAAACAAGCTATTAACCTAACCATCTGAATCAACGACATAACTCTAAACACCTGCAAAAGATTCCTGAGGCTTTTAAAACTCCCAGCCTTGTTCATTACTCAAAACCGCAATCATGGATAAGACTGCCGACCTGACTGCTGTCCAGAAGGCCATCATTGACACACTCAAGCAAGAGGGTAAGACTCAAAGAAATTGCTGAACGAATAGGCTGTTCCCAGAGTGCTGTATCAAGGCACCTCAGTGGGAAGTCTGTGGGAAGGGAAAAGTGTGGCAGAAAATGCTGCACAACGAGAAGAGGTGACCGGACCCTGAGGAGGATTGTGAAGAAGGGCCGATTCCAGACCTTGGGGGACCTGCGGAAGCAGTGGACTGAGTCTGGAGTAGAAACATCCAGAGCCACTGTGCACAGGCGTGTGCAGGAAATGGGCTACAGGTGCCGCATTCCCCAGGTCAAGCCACTTTTGAACCAGAAACGGCAGCAGAAGCGCCTGACCTGGGCTACAGAGAAGCAGCACTGGACTGTTGCTCAGTGTGCTCAGTGGTCCAAAGTACTTTTTTCGGATGAAAGCAAATTTTGCATGTCATTCGGAAATCAAGGTGCCAGAGTCTGGAGGAAGACTGGGGAGAAGGAAATGCCAAAATGCCAGAAGTCCAGTGTGAAGCACCCACAGTCAGTGATGGTCTGGGGTGCCATGTCAGCTGCTGGTGTTGGTCCACTGTGTTTTATCAAGGGCAGGGTCAATGCAGCTAGCTATCAGGAGATTTTGGAGCACTTCATGCTTCCATCTGCTGAAAAGCTTTATGGAGATGAAGATTTAATTTTTCAGCACGACCTGGCACCTGCTCACAGTGCCAAAACCACTGGTAAATGGTTTACTGACCATGGTATTACTGTGCTCAATTGGCCTGCCAACTCTCCTGGCCTGAACCCCATAGAGAACCTGTGGGATATTGTGAAGAGAAAGTTGAGAGATGCAAGACCCAACACTCTGGATGAGCTTAAGGCCGCTATCGAAGCATCCTGGGCCTCCATAACAACTCAGCAGTGCCACAGGCTGATTGCCTCCATGCCACGCCGCATTGAAGCAGTCATTCATGCAAAAGGATTCCCGACCAAGTATTGAGTGCATAACTGAACATGATTATTTGAAGGTTGGCGTTTTTTGTATTAAAAGCACTTGTCTTTCATTGGTGGGATGAAATATGCTAATTTTTTGGGCCAGGCATTTTGGGTTTTCATGAGTGTAGTGAACTAAGCCTCAGGTCAAATCCTGATCTTGAGGGCCTTCCTGGGACAAGAACTGTATTTCATTGATTTGAGTCCAGAAACACAAAATCAAGTCCATCCAGAGACTTTCTAAGTGTCCTGCACTGATCAATTGAAAGAACACTCTCTTTTTCTATTATCATTACTATCTTACAAATGTCTTGATAATCAAAGTGTGTTAGTTCAAACCATTTTAAATGTTGAAGTGAACTACTCATTTTAAATCAACTGTGAAACAGTATTAGTGATTTTTTAATCCTCATTCAAAGTAGAAATCAAGTTAGAATGTGTTACGGAGTAATTCATGCATTTTCTGATTTTCTGTCTGAAATGAGCAAGTGTAAGTTGGTCCAAGGTTGGAGGCAAGAAGACAAGTTGTTGGAACGAACTGTCATGTTTTTATATCCTCTCAGACGTAAATAGAGAAGCTGGCACCTGTTTTCCCCCAACTCGCCTAAACATTTCTCTCGTCTGTATGCCATAATCATCAGTATTAAAACAATTAAAGACCTGAAATATTTCAGTTGGTGTGCAATGAATCTGAAATATATGAAAGTTTCATTTTTATCATTACATTATGGAAAATAATGACCTTTATCACAATATGCTAATTTTTTTGAGAAGGACCTGTATATATATATTTGGATATAGATATAAAGATACATATATACAAACTGGATTCCAAAAAAGTTGGGACACTAAAGAAATTGTGAATCAAAACTGAATGCAATGATGTGGAGGTGCCAACATCTAATGTTTTATTCAGAATAGAACACAAATCACAGATCAAAAGTTTAAACTGAGAGAATGTATCATTTTAAGGGAAAAATCTGTTGTTTCCAAATTTTATGGCATCAACAAATCCCCAAAAAGTTGGGACAAGTCCATTTTTACCACTGTGTGGCATCCCCCCTTCTTCTTACAACACTCAACAGACGTCTGGGGACAGAGGAGACCAGTTTCTCAAGTTTAGAAATAGGAATGCTCTCCCATTCATGTCTAATACAGGCCTCTAACTGTTCAATCGTCTTGGGCCTTCTTTGTCGCACCTTCCTCTTTATGATGCGCCAAATGTTCTCTATGAAAGATCTGGACTGCAGGCTGGCCATTTCAGTACCCGGATCCTTCTCCTACGTAGCCATGATGTTGTGATTGCTGCAGAATGTGGTCTGGCATTATCGTGTTGAAAAATGCAGGGTCTTGCCTGAAAGAGATGACGTCTAGATGAGAGCATATGTTGTTCTAGAACCTGAACATAGTTCTCTGCATTAATGGTGCCTTTCCAGACATGCAAGCTGCCCATGCCACCAGCGCTCATGCAACCCCATACCATCAGTGATGCAGGCTTCTGAACGGAGCGTTGATAACAACTTGGGCTATCCTTGTCCTCTCTGGTCCGGATGACATGGCGTCTCAGTGTAGTGAACTAGGCCTCCGACCTCAACTTGTCTCTGAAGACCTTCAGGGGACAGGAACTGTTATTTCATTGATCTGGATCCAGAAATACAAATTATCTCATCAAGAGACTATTTTATTGTGTCCTGAATTAATCAATTGAAAGAACACTCTTCCTTTCTACATGATCAATACTATTTTAAGATATCTTGATAATCCAAAGTGTGTTTAGTTCATACCATTTCTAAATGTTGAAGTGAACCACTCATTTAAATCAACTGTGAAACGGTATTAATTATTTTTAAACCTCTTTAGACTTAGAAATCAAGTTAAATGTCTATTTACAAAGTAATTGTGCATTTTGATCTTCTGTCTGAATGAGTGGATTTGATGTCGGTCAGAAGTCAGAAAGCAAGTTATGAGAACGAAGTGCCTTGTTTTAAAACTCAGCAGACAGTAAATAACTTCAACTGGCATCTGCGTTTGTCTCACTTCGTCATAACATTTCTCCGTCTGTACTAACCGTTCGTAAACATTCCTGCTGTCTTTTGACTCCTAGTGACCCTCTTGACATCACTAGAACCACCC